TTTTTTATTCTAACTTTTTTGTTTTTTGAGATAAGTGCGTCATCTTTGGACTCATTTTAAAGGTTTTTTAATGAAGATGACAAATATGTCAAAATTGACGTTGACGTTTAAACCGGAAGTGATTGTATTTCCGTTAATATTAAAGTTAAATATGTCGAGTTTGGACTCATTTTAAAGGATTTTTTATGGAGATTACGAATATAATAATATAATTAAAAATTAAAGTAGATAGATAGAAAAACAAAGGTAATAATTTGTTGTTGAGATGTTTCTTGCTGTCATCGCACGGGTTTATTATATTCTATTCACTTCTCTATGTAATGATACTTAACGGATGTTGCATAAATGTCTTATAACTATTTATTTATTGAAATCCACGGGTCTCCTGTGGTGATTCTCTCCTGATTGGAGTTTCACTTTGCTAGGAATCGTTATTGCATAAACTTTCATGCACAACACTTTGTGGTCTCTTCAAAGCACACAAATAGATTAATTCCATTCAAAACAATTTTCATCCAAGGTTGTGAAACATCGATAAATTCCAAAATAAAAAGATTTAGCGAGATATTAAGATCTATTTAATAGATAATAAATCGTTTCGCTCGGTAAATTTAACTAACATTGTTCCAGCTCATTTGCAACTGTTCAATATTCACGTTTCGACTCTATATCTAGACCTTAAACGTGTTGGGGTTGATGTCTATGCTGGGAAACCACCCCTCTCGTCGCCGTCAGAATCGAGTTTGAGGGGGGGGAAATTTTCGGACGCGAAAAACGATTTCCACCAGTCAGTCGTGTCGGTTAGGTTGCAGGATAATGTTCTGGATCCTGCGTAGGACCAGACTTACGAGTGCTGCAGCACTTTTAAACAGCATCAATAATAATAATAATAGCGGTAAGTCTTTTTTTTTTTTGAATTTTTTTAAATTTTATTTCGCTCGAGGAATTTAATTTCATCAAATGATCAAACGAGGTTCGAGTCCACGTGGAATGTGTTATATTAAAGGCATGTCTTTATATCGTCTCATTTTTATCATATTTTGTTCGATATATCTTTGAGTGGGTTCATTTCCGGGAGAATATTTCTTTCTGCCTTAAAATGCGTATCTTTCTCGAAGTAATTTCAATTTTCTGCAGGAAAATTACTTTCTCTCATTCTTATTTTAAAAAATGATTTATTCCTCGCTACTTTGATACAGTTTAAATTGACCCAGAGAATTTTTTTTATCCTTTTTCGAATGAAAATTTTATAATTAAAGTGTCCTTCGATGGAGGGCACTTTCTGTTACATAACTAGTGTATCAAATCCCACCAATTAAATGCCCGTCCACGTTAAGCAAAGTCTTAACGAGGTTCCCTTACGAACGAATCCCATTAAAACCCCCCTCTTTACACTTTATCATTCAACGTTCATCATAAAATCGAAACAATTTTAACCAAAACATGATTTTCTTGATAAAAACGTGTATTTGATTGATAAGAACTTGATTAATTCCACAATATGTTGTTGTAAAGTTACGAAATCATGGCGAAGAGAATTTAATGCAATTAGTTAACACATTATTAAAGTTTGGTACACCTTGGGCGATTCGAACCACCATCTTGAAACCTCGAATAAACCCAACTAGAAATTACTCTCAGATTTAAACTTTATCCGAGTTAAAACTTGAAAACTCGATAACTGAGAAAAAATTTTATTTTATTTAAAGTTTTGATATGATTTAAATCGAAACGACGATTTTGAGTGTTATTCAGTGTGAAGTGAGCTTCGAACGACTCTTAAAAAAAACTGATGATAATAATAGTTATTAATTTAAATGAGAAACGACGTCGTTTTAGGGGTTTAATAACGCAGAACATAGCGGTATCGTAATAAATTCGGTCGTATCTTGTCACGTGACATCTCCAGTTACGACCCCGAACATAACTAACCCACTAGAAATTTAATGCCCCCCGTCCTATATGAACGGTACATTAGTCCCCATTTCGCAACAACCAATTCCCCAACCTCGCTCGTCCGAGGAGACACTGAGTTTCAAACAAATCAATTATTTGGGGTGAAATTGTATTAATAAAATCGGAATTTGACGTAAACGTCGAATGAAATGTCAAATTTTTAATCGTGCAATGAGCGCTAGCGCCTCTCTTGTTATCTAGTTATTTTAAATGACAATGTTTAGATGAATACTAATATTCTTCATAAAATAACCTTTAAAGTGAGTCCAAACATGACGCATTTTTGTAATCTCCAATAAAAATCCTTTAAAATGAGTCCAAACTCGACATATTTAACTTTAATATTAATGGAGATACAATCACTTCCGGTTTGAAACGTCAACGTCAATTTTAACATAGTTGTCATCTTCATTAAAAAACCTTTAAAATGAGTCCAAAGATGACGCACTTATCTCAAAAAACAAAAAAGTTAGAATAAAAAACATTAAACCCGAAGTTAGCAACAATGAAGATAGCAATTTAATTTTTAAATATTAATACCAACCTTAATTTTTTATTTTTTTTTTTATATTTTTGTTTTTGTGACAAATATTAAGACATTTTATAAAAATTAAGAATATGTCAAAATGACATTGACATTTCAAACCGGAAGTTGCTTATATCTCGAGTAATATTGGAATTAAACGTATCATGTTTGGACTCATTTTAAAGGATTTTTCACGACGATTACAAACATGTCAAAATTGACGTTGACATTCTTAACCGGAAGTTGACCATAACTTCATTAGTATTGAAGATAAATATGTCGTGTTTGTACTCATTTTGAAAGATTTTTAATGAAGATTGCAAATATATCAAAATTGAGGTTGACATTTTAAACCTGAAGTTAGTTATTATACAGGGTGAGTCAGAAAGAATGGGAAATCCGAATACCGGAGATACTAGATACCAAAATATGATGATTTAACCTAACATCTCTTATACAAATGTCAATGGTTTTCGAGGCACAGGGTGTTGAAAGTTAAATTTTTATTTCGAAATTTCTTGATAATTTTGAAGCTTTTTGTACTGTTAGCATAAAATTTAGTAGTTTTATGTTTTCAAGCATGAGAAATATGAATTTGAAACTTGTTTTGTTATTGCTCATAGAGGGCGCTAGATACACACTGTTTGTTTGAGATATCACGTCATTTCAAGAATTTAAGATGTTAGGTTAAATCGTCATATTTTGGTGTCTAGTGTCTCCGGTATTCGGATTTTCCATTCTTTCTGACTCCCCCTGTATAATAGACATATGGACAACTTCATGGTGTTCTTTCATGATGTATTCTTTATTAAAAAACCTTTAAAATGAGTTCAAATATGATGCATTTATCTCAAAAACCCAAACAGTTCGAACTTTCAACTTTTAATTTTGACATATTTATCAATTTCATAAAAAATCCTTTAAAATGAGTCCAAACTCGACATATTTAACTTTAATATTAATGGAAATACAATCACTTCCGGTTTGAAACGTCAACGTCAATTTTAACATATTTGCCATCTTCATTAAAAAACCTTTGAAATGAGTCCAAACATGATGCACTTATCTCAAAAAACAAAAAAGTTAGAATAAAAAACATTAAACCCGAAGTTAGCAATTTAATTTTTAAATATTAATACCAACCTTAATTTTTTATTGTTTTTATTATATTTTTGTTTTTATGACAAATATTAAGACATTTTATAAAAATTAAGAATGTCAAAATGACATTGACATTTCAAACCGGAAGTTGCTTATATCTCGAGTAATATTGGAATTAAACGTATCATGTTTGTACTCATTTTAAAGGATTTTTCACGACGATTACAAATACGTCAAAATTGACGTTGACATTCTTAACCGGAAATTAACCATAACTTCATTAATATTAAAGATAAATATGTCGTGTTTGTACTCATTTAAACCGGAAGTTCTTATATCTCGAGTAATATTGGAATTGAACGTATCATGTTTGGACTCATTTTAAAGGATTTTTAATGAAGATTACAAATATGACAAAATTGAGGTTGACATTTTAAACGTGAAGTTAGTTATGATATAACAGAAGTTTTATAACTGAAGTTAATCTAGTGTTAGTCACTTTTCCGTACTTTCTTTTTATTTTTAACGCGTTTTTTTGGGTCATTTCACATTGATTAAAAAAAATTGTCGATTTTAAGCCACATGATGATTCTTAATTTTTGTCATCAGTGATAAAAATCGGCAGGCACCAAACAATTTTCAATAGTTTGAGCCTGTCTATTCTAAGAAGTCATATTTTTAGAGAAATGAAAATGAAAATCTCGTTTTTCTCAAAATTGTTCACTTGTCACTTAATCAAGTGATGCATAACGCGGTCCAATACTACTTTTTTATGAGTTTTTACAAATTTCGGGTTTAGCAGAATTTTTAATCAATTTAATTTTGAATTGCGGCAGATTTCTTATTATTTCTGATACATCGAGTATGAAACTAATCCTTTGGGCATTTTCCATTTATTTGGAAAACCAATTTCTATTGAATTTTAGCATTTTTTTGGTTGGACAGAATTTCTGACCAATTTACTCTGACCAATAGTAAATGTGGAACGAAAATTTTGTTGGTCGTCTTCCACATTTCTGAAAACCAGGATTTTCCGCTATTCTTGCTTATATCCATATGAGCGGAACTTCTGATCACTTTAATTCGAACTACATCGCACTACATTTCCATATATTTGGAAAATCAATTTCCATTGAATTCTTTCAGATTTCTGGTTGAAGAAAATTTTTAGCCAATTTCATTTAAACGGCGTCGTATTACCCGACAGTTATAAACAAGTTATGTGCAACAAAAATTTGTTTAGGTCGTCTTGAACTTTTCTGGAAACCAAGTTTTTCTGAAAATCTTCAAATTTTAATTTGAGCAGAACATCTGACTCTGTTAATTTGAACTGCATTGCATTCCTCTTTGTTTATAGCAGCAAATACGCAAAGAAAATTAGGTTTGTTATTTCTTGTTTCTTTGGAAATCTCTTTAAAATCACATATGCAAAATACATGCGAGAATACTGATTACCAGACTTGTAAATAAACTGAAACTCTACCGGCTTTCGTACCGAATTTGGAACCAACGATCACCCGCAGACTATCAGGGTGTTAATGAGATGGATGATCAGGATGTTAATAAACATTGATAACCTCGGTGACATTAAAACTGATGATGCGTGAGGTGAAGGAAGTATGTGCATCGGTTGGTCTGGAAATCAATATCTCCAAGACCAAATTTATGACTAATCTGGTTCCCAGCGAAAACATTCTGATGGAAGGAAAGGAAATTGAACTAGTGGATAAGTACACATATCTTGGCTATGAAATTAATATCACAAGAGACAACCAGACATGCGAACTAAGGAGGAGAATAATCCTCTCATGGGCAGCATGTGGTACACTTCTCTGTCTTTAAGAGCAACCTACCATTATGTCTAAAGAGAAAAGTGTTCGATCAATGCATGCTGCCGGTCATGACCTATGGGGCAGAAACATTAACTTTGACTGTAATATCAGCCAACAGGCACAACACAGCGTAAAATGAAAAGATCGATTCTTGGAGTATCATTTCTCGCATCGCCAGACTCAAATAGAACTAGGTTGGACACGTAGCCTGAAAGACAGATGAAAGGTGAACGAAAAGGCTGTTGGAATGGAGATTTCGAGCTAACAAACGGAGTAGAGATATCAAAAGATTTGCTAATAACTGGATCCAGGGAGCACAGGACAGGAAGAAATGGGTGGAAATAGGGAAGGCCTATGTCTAGCAGTGGACACAGAGGGCTAAGTAATGACGTGGAAATCCGGCTTCTCTTCAATTTTTGCAAATTGTGTAGTTCTAGTTTTAATTCAATGCTACATTGTTATATGTTTTTATTGAACTAA